CGATAAGTGTATGTTAATTTTGTCTATACAGTGGCCCACAACTGCCACGCACTTAAATTAAACTGAGTCGCTTACAAACAAAACAGATCCACATCGAAATAAACCGATTCAGGTAGAAAGAAAAACCACTCAAAAAAATTCAAGTGAGTCGCACAAAAAGAAAAAAGACTCGCTGAAAAATGATACTCGTCACACATTTTTTAGTTCCAGTCGCATAAGATACAGCAAATCGCACATAAAGCAGATTGAGTCCCACAATTGGAAAAGAGGTCGCACTTAAAGAAGAATGGATCACACGTTAGAAAAGGGTAGGTTTTGTATTGAATTGAATGAATTTTTGTTCAGCCTCGGCCATGATGTTTTGCCCAAACTGTGGGAATTTCAAAGACAAAACCCAGTTTCTCATGGTTGGAATAGAATAATATGCGCGTATTTTTTGGACTATTAGAACTATTGTTCAATTCGATCACAGAAACATGCAGACAGGCTAGAAGTCCAAACTTAGCTAGTTACCCGAACTGCAGTGTACGACAGCTTCCTACGAGATCTCGGGTAGGCAAGAGGTCTCGTTACAAAAATTCAAGTGTACAAATGTACACTATGACACGAGTTTATACTTCTAGTGTACACACAAATATCAAGTTTTACATACAAACAACTTCGTGAGAAACTGATTCGGTTTTAGAGGGAATGTGGTTGAGACATACGCATACAAACAACAGCCCTGTTGTCAGAGAATTTGGAACTTCCCTTAGAAACATTCTGGTAGTTGACCAGAAGTCGCTTTACTGGAAGCATGAAAAATGCACAGTCAGCAAAATTTCGACATTCGAATTTTTTTAAAACTGATGATATCGTCAGAAAAAGCTTGGAACGTGGACATGACTTCCGGTCTTCTGCCAGAAGGTTCCCAAGACTTAATGATTTAAACCTTAAAAATTTCTGTTAGGCTGGTTGCTAGATGGTTATGCAAAATTCCCTGTCTATAAAATATCTACTCTTTAGAAACATGTAGTCAATCTGCAGCATCTATTCTGATTTCTTCTTGAGAACACTTAGTTTTAGCTTCGCATTAACATTATTTTTAGAATTATTTCTTGCTATTGAATGCACCTAAGACTGTAAGTGACTAGAAATAACAGTATAACTGTAGTATGAAGAATCGATTAAACAACTGAATTTACTGGTTGTTAAGGCTCTTGGCGGTTAGTAGAGCCAAAGAAGATGTCCTAAAATTCAAAGTTAAAAAATCCTTCAAGCTCATTGTCTCTTCCAGGCATGTCTATAACTTGCCCCTTCAGGTTTCACTCTTCATGCAAAAAAATTTAAAACTATCAGTCTTGGTACATGTATGTGTTTAGAGTTTCTTTAGTTGTTCCCAAAAAAAAAGTTGTGGAAAACAATGATAAATATTTCATTCAGTGGCCTTAGATTCCCCTTAAAAGTACCAAATGATTCCATAGTTCCAAAGAGAATTAATTCCCTATTTTTACCCAAGTACGGAATTTATTTGATTTTTAATGCATCCATTCTTGGGCTTATTTCCAGCAACTATTCCAGCAATTATTTTCAGCAACTGACTAATGCTTTGCATCGCTTGCTAGGCGATTTGCCTCACATGGGCTTGATTGTCAGCCATTGCTCCTGTTCTTGTTCTGTTGCGCACTTTGGTGCCAGTTTCTTACAGCATTGCATCTTGGGATACTACACAATGAATTCTGAAAGTAGACCTTTAATTAATTCTGAAAGTAGACCTTTAATTAATTCTGAAAGTAGACCTTTAATTAATTCTGAAAGTAGACCTTTAATTAATTCTGAAAGTAGACCTTTAATTAATTCTGAAAGTAGACCTTTAATTAATTCTGAAAGTAGACCTTTAATTAATTCTGAAAGTAGACCTTTAATTAATTCTGAAAGTAGACCTTTAATTAATTCTGAAAGTAGACCTTTAATTAACTCTGAAAGTAGATCTTTAAGGAATTCTGAAAGTAGACCTTTAATTAATTCTGAAAGTAGACCTTTAAATAATTGCAAAACATTTAATTAAATAACAAAGTGCACATTAAATAAATTATCAAAGTAAACACTTGAATAATTGTTTTGGTACATATTTAATTAATGGAGAGTGTGTATTCTGATAATGTTGCCAGGTTATTAGTTCGCAAGCAAAGAAGTATAATTCATTGCATTGCCAAAAATTAATACTGCAATGCCATTTACTAATTCAACGTGGCAATATTTAATACAAGTATACTTCTATTAATAAGGGATACTTTTGAACCATTCGGGCCCCCATACTCCATAGCTACCGATGTCCTCAAGAGCTTCGCACAACTCGCCACCTCCCTAGCAAATATGCAAAGTATCCTCGCTGAGGAAAGGGAGAAATATCATAATTTGGTGGTGGAAAAATGATGATTAAATGAAATTTAATCAGAGTTAATTTCACGAGGGGCTTTTGAGCGTTAACTAAATTGCATGAGATTGTTATTACTATTTCGTTATGTGTTCTTGTGCCACGCTTCCTCGCGTTTTGCTTGTATCTGCTCTACTAGTTTATGGGCAATGCAGGGAGTCTTTCGGCCTCCTGTGAATTTGATTTGTATAACTAGGGTAAGATGTGTGTTTCGTGGCGTTTTCATTCCCTTGGTTAATCAAGAGGTATTCAAGGTTTTGGCATAGCGTGGGTCTCATCTTGCTTGGTGAAGCCACAATACAACTAGGCTGTTTCATTGTATTTTCCCAGCCCTCCCTCCCTCATTTTGGTTTCTTTATGCTAAATGCCTTTTCAGTATAACTTTGCGTGTTGAGCTTCTTTTATGGCATCGTTAAAACCTCTCATACTTTTAGGCATCTTTTATGCTTCGTAGAGTTTTCTGATGCTATTAGGTAGGACTGGTGCATCGGCTATTAGTGGGGAAAAGAAGCTTTTCCTGTCCATTCCCTCCCAATTATCAACCATATTTTGGGGGTTATTGTGTAACTTCCCTTAGTAACCCCTATATGGTAGGTTGAACGATTGGCGCCGAGGCACCAACGGCGCAACTCGCTCTCGATAATGTGGGAACGTAGCCTCCTCATGACTGACCTTTCTGATGTCTATGGCAGTTTTTCTGAGGGAGCTTTATGCCCTTTATGTTGGATTGGTATTCCCGAGTTAGTAAATTAATTTTAAATTGAAAACCAAGTTATTCGACGAAGGAGCACCTACCGGTAGCCATGAAAGCCGTGAAAAAGGCGTATGAAGTATTTCCATGGAAAAAGAACACAGTGCCAATTCTAGGCGACAGTATGTTATTCCACATTAATGAAAGAACACTGATACACTACAAAAGTAAGAAGTTTCCCGGGAGCCACCGCTGATGATCTCCATGATTACACCCAACCACTGCCCAGGAAAAAACCAGACAAGATTACTGGTCGTTGGTACAAACGATATCTCTAACAACTCAGTGAAAGACGCTCTGGCAAAAATCCTATCCCTAACCAAACTCATTCTAAGTAATCTTCCCAACTGTCAAATAACCATATCGGAAATCATCCAAAGAAAAGATAACGCACTACTCAATACAAAAATCAACGAATTCAATAAAGCACTCAAACCCATAAACCTCGATATTATACAGCAGCAAAACATCAAAGAACAGCACCTTGCAAGAGACGGTCTTCATCTTAATTTCAGAGGTAACAGGCAATTGGCACTGAACTTTATTCAAAAACTTAGATCGTATTCATTTTGATTAAACAAGGATGACTCGACAGAAATATATGAAAGCAATGTTTTTATATACATAATATACATAAGTCAATTCATGATCGAAGGCTTTGGAGAACCTTTCAGAAAGGATAGAAACAAAAATGGTGGAGGCCTTCTTACCTATGCAAGGGAAGGGATCCTTGTTAAAGAGCTAAAAAATTACAAATTTCCTAATGACATTGAAATATGCACCACCGAAATAAAACTTAGAACAAATAAATGGCTACTACTTAGCATATATCGCCCACCCTCCCAATGCCCAAGCTATTTCTTTGAAGAGATCGAAAAAGGAATCGATTTCTTCAGCAACAAATTTGAAGATCTTATCGTTATGGGCGATTTCAATTGCGAAGTGGGTGACAGCGCAATTAAGGCTTTCATGGACACTTGTAAATTAGTTAACTTGATCAAGAATCCAACCTGTCACAAGTCAGACAACCAACGATGTATAGATCTGATACTGACAAACTGTAAAAGTCACTTTCAAAACACGACTAATGTTCAAACAGGGTTGTCTGACTTCCATGATACTGAGCATACTCAAAGGTGATTTCACCAAGAGAGGTCCCGAAATACTTACATATAGAGACTACAAAAAATTCGATATTCTGAGCTTTAGATCTGAAATTTTGAATCATCGAATACTTGTTACCGTTAGAGTTCGCAGTGTTTACACTGTCACAGTTCCAAATTGTCCGTTTTGCCGTTCCGTTTACACTGTACCGGTACGACCTTAATTCAATGGTAGAGCAATGTTCAGAAGAGGCTGTATTTCGTCAACCGACGATTTTATTTTGCCGCCAAAATCAACAATCGAAAAAGGCCGATAAAAACTTCGCTTGGACGGACGACGAGGTGACTTTAATCCTCAGTTTTATTTTAAACTACAAAACTATTTTAGAAATGGAAACAATAAAAGTCTGTCGTCGTATTTTCTGTCGTCGTCTTTTCTTCAGAATTTTATGGAGTTTTCCTTGGGAGTTTAGATGAACTGTACTACCATCGAGAATAGATTGTATATGGCGCTAGCTAAGGCGGTGTTAACCATCGTAAATAGCTGGTCAATAGATATACAGCCTAGATAAATAGCCGGTACAAAATTCGTTCGCTTTCAAAGAAGGGTCAAAACTGTTCCGAATAGCAGAGCAAATTTCAGATGTTTCATATGAGAATTGAAATAAGAAAACCAAAGTATTTTTGTATTTTTGTCTACAGGCTAAAAGAAAAGAAAAAAAATTCTCACCCGTCAGTTATCTTGGACAGCCAGCAGCTTCACTTTAACTGAGACGTTGTTTGGCTCATTTATAGATCCTGCTCCAAAAAAAGAACAACGATATGTTTGATAGAACCACCCAATCACACCTATCCCCTATCCATTATATTCTCCTTCTTTATCATGGATCGTTAAATATTTATCTGGAGAAGACCCTTGTTGCTACATGATGTAATGGTTTTGAAACGTACCAAATATTGATTTTCTTTGATAGATAATTTTCAAGCTGTGTATGGCATATGTTGAGATGTGAAGAAAATAGAACAACACATCAGTCCACAACAGAATGGAAAATAAATTATACTTTTAACTCCAAGGGTCTAGGCAGATAACTTCTATACAAGATGATAAAATGAACATGCCACCAGGGGCGGATCCAGCGTCTGCGTTTGGGGAGGGCCATTTATGAAAGAAGAGGAGGCCTGCGAAAATTTCACAGACACGCCCTTCAAAGTCTCACCGAACGCGGGAAACGCCCCTTTCTATCAAAAAATTTCATAAGAAGGTACACTCTCAGAACACTGAAAATTAAGAAACTTCATTGCTGCGAGAAACTTCCAAGCGAAGTAAAGGCTAAAATACATGATGAAAAATTGATGAACTTTGGCTAATCGTGTAAACACGCGCTTCTTTAGTTAAACTGATGAAAAACGGATATAGAAATAACTTTGGGGAAATCTGACATAAAAAACTGATCGTGTATTTCAGCCTTTACAAATATTCATATTGAATATTTGGTCAGCAGCTTTCGCGCTTGACTTGGGAGGGGAACTATGACGCATCAGAGTTCGTGAATGACATTATAATTCCTGTGTTCAAGAAGCCGGCATAAGACACGTACCCTTAAGATGAAAAAAAGATTTAGAAAATGAGCAAAAGTCCCCACGTATTTGGTGCGTATAATTTGAATGGTAAATTTTCAAAATGGGTAGTCACCAAAAATTCATCGCAGCATAACAGGCAAAGCTGAGTAGTTATAGGTACTGTTTTGCTTTTGTTGGAAATAGTGACGCTTTTTGGGTATCACAATCGCAATAACACGATGAACAATGTTTGAACTGTAACCCATTTTAGCCATAACTTTCTCAACCATTAACGTTTGCAGACGTCATTCATTCATGATCGCAGTCATGATTTGTGTTAAACCATAGTCCATATGAGCCGCGAGATCCGGTCACATCTAATTTTGCATTGAACTATTGTTTTAGGCTTATCATAATTCTTGTGTTACACATCCACTTGCAACTTATTGCCTCACTGAAAGCGAGAGAATAAAGCCGACTGGAGGTTTGATTAAAATGTCTGGTCCGCCAAAGAAATCAAGAACTCTTGAATCATTCTTCTCAAAAAGTAGCCGCACCAGTTCAGTTGGAGATAACCCTGAAATCTCTAAAACATGTGAAACTACCACTTGCCAAGAATTTGAATCAAAATCTACTGGTGAAGAATTCGACACACAAAGCCAAGTTGCGGTAGTCCAGGATTGTCCTGAAGAGGAAACACACCCAGACCTCTGTTGTATGGCGACACAAGTAAATGTTGCAATATCTGATAGATATGACATTGGTAGAGCTATAATGAAAACAAAATGAGGAGAACAGCTGACAGATAACGAAAGGGAAGCATATTTATCGAAGAGGTGGGTGCCGCAGAGAAGGGATGAATATCCATTTTCTGAAAAGAAAAAACCAAAGAATCAGCTCATGGTTGGTATGTCCTCGACAACGAAGCGTTTTCTGGGTGAAAATCACTTGAAAACCTTCCCCTGGCTAGCTGTCAGCAGAGAGCCAAAATGTTGCGGTGCTTGGTGTGTTTATTGCGTTTTATTCAAGACGTGCGAGAGTGGAGGTGGAAGAGGTGCACAATACGGAGGTGGAGCAGGCCAGTCAATGGGCAAACTTGTTAACAAGCCTCTTGTAAACTTTTCAGACTTGACAGGGAAAAATGGAGCCCTCACAAGTCACCAAGAAACATCTTTTCATAAGACATGTGCCATAAAGTACACGGAGTTCTTGAGCCGTGCAACACCTGGGAGTGAGAAGGATGTTCGATCAATAATGAACATTGAAAGGCAGAAAGAGATTGAAAGAAACAGGACTGCGCTGGTTCCCATCATCGACACCCTTCTAACATGCGCCAGGCAAAATATTGCGCTTAGAGGCCATCGTGATGATGGACCAGTAGATTCAACTGGGATGGAACCCAAGCACAATGATGGAAACTTCAGGGCATTGCTGCGATTGAGAGTACGGGGAGGAGATACAAACTTGAAAGATCACTTGAAATCTTGCAAACGCAATGCTTCTTTGGTAAGCAAAACGATACAAAACGAGCTAATTGCCTGTGCAGGAAATATTGTCAAAGAGGACATAGTAAGAGATGTAAAAAATGCAAAATTCTGGACAATAATGGCCGACGAAACCCAAGATTGTGCGAAACGAGAACAGTTGGTCATTGCAATTCGTTACGTTGACACAAAAAATGTGCCAAAAATTATCAAAGAAGAACCGGTCGCAATTTTAGACCTGATTGCAGACATAAAAAGCAGTGACCAATCAGATGAAACAGAGCACAATGAAATTAAGCTATGTGGCAAGGCAATAGGGGAGACTCTACTCCGCCATATAAGTGAGCTTGGGTTGGATTTGCAGTACCTCGTTGGTCAAGGATATGATGGTGCTGCATCGATGTCCAGTGAGCGAGTTGGTGTTTGCTCCTTTATCAAATCTGCTGCGCCACTCGCTGACTACTTCCACTGCTGCATGCACGCGCTAAATCTAAGTTGTTCTCGAGCCGCAAAGATACCAGCAATCAGACATTGCATGGATGACATCAAAGATATCAACAATTTCTTCAAGCATGCGAAAAGAAACAGCTATTTGCAAGCAGTCATAGCACGAGAATCAATTGAAGAGCTTCAGCGACGGCAGTTGGTGACCCTCTGTGAAACAAGATTTGTCGAAAGACATGAATCAGTTTTGGTTGCACGACAGCTTTTGCCTTACATCGTTGTGTGCTTGGAATAAATGCTCGCTTGGGACTCATTAGATACAAGAAAAGATGCCAGGAGATTGTTAAAAAGTTTGCAAGACCCTCAGTTCCTTGTAGCGCTAGTATTGGCCGAGAAAGTGTCTGCTGTACTTCGCCCAGTGTCCCGTTCTTTGCAACAAATTGGTAGCGATCTTGTGAAAGCAATGTCGACGATTTCTGCGACACAGTCAAAGCTTTACACGTGGCGTAAAGGTGAAGAAAATGAGTTTGCTTCGATGTTTGAAGAGGCAATGCTTCTTGGCGAAAATATTGGAGTGACCAGAGAAGAGATGCACGCAATTCCTCGAGCAGTCAGTCAATCCAGGTTCAGATCAAATGCAGGTGAAGCCAATCAAAAAGCCATTGATTATTATCGTATCAATGTGTTTTTACCTCTTCTTGATGAAGTGGCTGGAGATATGAAAGCAAGATTTGGTCCCCATCAGCAGAAGATTGCGACGCTTACAAGAATTCTGCCTTGTTTCGTCAAAGAATCAACTTGGCAAGATATTTTGCCTGCAGCACTAAAATACGGAGTCTTTTTAGACCCCTTGTCCATTGTTGAAGGAGAGTATGAAATTTGGAAGCAGCAATGGCTGTCACGTGGAACAAGTACAGTAGCAAATACCGCTATCGGCGCTTTAGGCGACTGCCAAGGTGATGTATTTCCTAATTTGCATACATTACTCAACATTCTCACTGTGCTACCGGTGACAACAGCAGAACCCGAACGACTATTTTCTAAACTGAATAGTACCCTTACAGCAATTCGGTCAACAATGTCTGAGGAGAGATTAGAATCCCTACTTCTTCTGCAAGTTCACCGTGACAGAACACCAACGAGCGATAAACTCATTGACTCATTCGCAGCATTAAAATCAAGACGAATCCCATTAAAGCTGTAAGTAGTTAAAAGATGGACAAAATGACGTTGCTATTATATCGCAATACTCAACATTGAAACACACCACTTCTCGCGCAAAATGAGCTCGCATGTAGCTTTTCGTTTCAAAGGCAAAATCTCCGATAACGTTTTTGCTACGATATAGCTACTTCCTTTTCAAATTCTTTTCTGAATATATTGACATCAGTTGGGATCACTGATTTCCACAAAATTACTCAATCAAAGCTCTCATGTTTCTATGCTCGCAGTTAGTGTTCTCATGTAATGTAATAAGTAATTTTGGTTTGTTAGTTATATAAACAACTAGTTTCTTGTTATGCAAAAACTTTTACCTTATCAATTTACATGTTTAGTTAATGTATTTACTGTCTTTTCATTCAAAGTTTCTCGTTGTCGAATCGTTTGGGGGGGGCCATGGCCCCCCCGGCCCCCCCTGTAGATCCGCCAATGCATGCCACAAAGTAGTGGAAACATAACATACTGAAGTACTTTTTGTTCAGGAGAACTGTAAGCCAGCTTTAGTTTGTAAGACCATTTATCTCATAACCACATCCTTAAACAGTGAGGTGAGACACTCCCTTTCAGTTGACAAAAATAAATTTTTGGCCTCGCCCCTGTTTTCGTCACACACACTTCAGAGTATAAATGTTAGATAATGGCCGAAAAGAAGCTGAAAATTTATATTCAGCTGTGCATCGTTAGTAACGTGGAAGGTAGAAAGACGCGCTTGGCTGATTCTTTTGTTTTTACTTAAAGTCCTTAAAAGAAAACGGACTCTTCCTGTCTACCCGAGTCGGAAACTTTTGTTTTTATGTACACTCTTTTTTTTACAAGAACCAGTAAATATGAGTTCAGGCTGATTGCTCCTAATTTTTCCGAAAACCTGAAACTGGATTCTTCTTAATTTGTTCTTAAATTTATAGGGTATAAGCAGTGCGATTTCTAGCTTTTCGTTCTGGGAGGTGTTCAGGCCTCTTTTGCCAACAAAGTGCGTAGAGACAAACTTAATTTGCCGCCATCTTTTAATATTCACCGAAAAAGCACCCACACATGGCTGAAAATCCTCGTTTTTGAGATAAAACGTTGTTCAAAATTCATTTTACAGTAGCTCAGCCTCAGCTTGTTCTTAACTTGTTCTCAAATTTTGACCCATTTTGAAGCTCGTGTTCTTAAA